GAGAAGTACAAAATGGTGTTCAAAAGGTGCCTCGGAGTCCAAGAGGCGACGCTCCGAGACCACGAGCGTCGAGTGCGCGTCCCTACGAGGTGTCCGTGGCGAGTTAGCGCAGGTTTAGTGCGTGCAAGGACAACAACAGGACCATCGTCCATGGCGCTACAGCCCCTTTGGCTAGAAGTTATGAGTGGCTTTTTATTAGGTGGTCTGAGAACGGGGGAGGTTGTCTCCCTTACAAGGAACAGGGAAAAAGAGCCTAGACAAAGAGATTAATAATTATAAAAACCTGGCGGGCAGCCGAGCTTCAAGTCCGTAGGCTCGACTTATGCATCCCGCAGTTACTGCCGTGTCTGCGGCGGGACCCGCCTTTCGCCGACACACTCAGAACAACGCTTGGAAACACAGCCACAGAGTTATCCGGTACGGTCATTCGTCACACCGATACCGTACCTATAAGGTTCAACATGAACTTACCGTAGACAAACAAAATCAGTTCTAATACGATTTTCATAATGAAAGGGGTTGATATAAATCAAGCGATACTTCTCGGTTGGAAGGTAAATCTTTTTAAGGGATTTAAGGGCAAATTAAGGGCACCTTTCAAAGTAGTAGAAACTTTTAAGGGCTTAAAACGGTGTTGGGGATTATCTATAGTACTTCCTTTTTCCTCTTCAGTAAAATAATGAAAAACATTGTCTCAGCGGTGTGACTCTCATGTAAAGACAAGACTATCACCTCGATTCCAAGGTCAAAACTCCTCGTAATTAAAGAAGTCAAGATGCGAAAATATAGACTTTATCATGAATACCGTATAAAACCCTCAGTGTGCGCCTAAATTAGACATAAGATAAAGTTACGGTGGGATTAGGCGGATTTACTCGACACAAGTAAACACGTAAAACGAACATGATCAACTACAAAAAATTTGCGTTTGTGTTTCTCAATTTAGGGGGGTTTTACACACAAGTCACTCACTTATTCGGGAATGACCACACGTCCGGTCGAGCCTTTCCACTGTCCGACGGTAAAGAACGTCGTAGCTTCTCTTTCAAACATCTACAACTGCGCACGTCCGGCAGTTTGGATGGACCTACGCCGAACACCAAGCGGGTCAGGTAGCCACCAGTCAGGCTGCAATGCCATTACAGGCTCTGAAGGGTGTAGGTGTGACAGCCTGCTCTCCGGTTGTGATAACTATATTAAACTACATCGTGTTCTGTCTGAGAGATCACTTATTAAATACACATTCACTGTCTTCTAACCCCAACCACAAAGCGAACGTTGACACCAGCCGTTTGAGAGCCGAAACAGCCGTCGCTTTAAGAGAGCCAAATGATCCGGCTCACTAACGTAAAAAGACAGTATCTATAAGGGACGGCTCGAGTCAAAACTCAAGCACCCAAAGAATTCAAGGGGAAAGTACTCCGGTGTGAAAGCGCCTATTGCGATATGAAAAAATACAGGAATTGGAGAGAAGACCGTTTTTGTCCACAGAACATCCTTTGTTGAACTTTAATGCTATACAATTGGTATTTTTTAACAATATTTAACCGGATGAAGGATTTTAGTCACGGACTTCTGGATCTTAAGTTATCAGAGCAACAAGCTGAGCTAGTTCGGTTATCCTGCTGTGATCTGATCAAGAATGATTGTGATTGGTGGTTTGCTGTGCATGCAGAGCCTGCATGTCACCCACTCAAGTACCCCTGACATGAGAGCCGCGCGAGTTTTCATTTTGTAGCAAGCAGCAAAAGAATTGTAACATGACGTGTTTGAGTTAATTTGCCTACTTAATATCGCACGTCCTAAAAAAAAATTGAACGTCCTGCGATGTCAATGCATGCCATAACGCGATTATCGTCACGACACCATATATCGTGCAGCCCTAGTATATACATACATATTTTTATATATTTGTTTTTGTTTTGTTGGAAACAGTATTTCGATCTCTCTGTCTGTACACACAAACTGAAAGATTGACAATAAAGTTGATTTTGACTTTGATCTGCAGTCGACGACATCAACATCACGCTGATGCGAAGCCCCGAGGAGCTCAGGGAGGACAAGAGTGTGTTCATGAACCAGGGAGAGTGGGAGCTGCTGCACATTCTGTCCAACTACAAGATCTTCAGCGTGGACAACGACGACTACTACGCCGAGATGAAGTTCCACGTGAGTATTCAAAAGATTTACAGATATATGTGTAAGGAAATACTCGTCATCTTTACAGCAATCGATCAAACGAAAGGAATGAATGAACTACTCAGATATTTTACTTAGGTACACGTAACAAGATAAAGTCCTCCACGAAAAAATATAAAAGTATTAAAATAAAAAATCTACTCATTATGCATAACCAATTTCATAATAATATTGATCAGGCCTATGTAGTCATTTATTTTTTTATTGAATAATGTAGAATTTATATGAATCTGAGTCTTCGCAACATCTTAAAAAGATCAAATTTAATTGAGTATAACATTGGCAATACTAAATCGTAAAAGTACTCTGTTGTAGGTAAAAGTATTTCATACAAAAATCTCACTTAATGAAAACTCAAGAAGTGTTGACATTTAAATACTAAAAGTACTCATTATCCATAATAGCCCATTTCAGGTCATATACAGTGAAATGACTGGATTATGATCATTAATTAATGTTCATCACATCTGGAAAACGTTATACTGCTATGCTGATGTATGCATATCTTAAGCTATCATTCTCCATTTAAATGTTATTAATATTCAGTATAAGCCAAAAATAATAGTTTGTAAAGTAACTAAAGCTGTCCAGTTTAATGTAGTTGAATAACAAAAAAGTACAATATTGGCTACAAACATTGAGACGACTAGAAGTATAAAATAGCATTACATGGAAATACACAAGTAAAATACAAGTACCTACTACTAAAGGTAAATAAAGTTAAAGACTTACAGTCGTGTTAAAGGTAAAGTTGGGAAGTTGAAATCTTCCTCCTCAGGCATCGAGAAGCATTTTCGGGTCACAAACGGCTCCACCCAACAGGAATCTTTATGCTAATCGATGCTAAAAACAGCTAACCATTAGCATTGTTGCTGTAACTAGCTTAGCCGTTAACTGCTACGCGATTTCAGTTGGTCACATAATTCAAATTTTCGGAAACACACAAACACTTATGTTCAGGCTAGTTAAAATAGATTATGTGGATTAAAGTGCGTGTTGGTTTATTATTCTACTGCCCCTATTTCTCCTCTATTTACTCCATTATCAATTTGTTTACCTTCGCCAGTTTGCGCTATACTCGCCCTACATGTTTTACTTCCTCACCTTCAGCCAATCACAACAGGCGTCTCTTACTGCCACTTATTTTGACCAATAAAAAACGAGATTGTAACTAAAGGTGTATTCTGTGTTCAAAATAAAACCTATTAGCTGTTTATTGAATTATTCACATCCCATAATATTACAAAATATATACTTTATATTTCAAATAAATATTTTCTTACATTACTTACTTCAAAATGTAACTACTTGAATCTCCACTTTTGAACCAGGGTTATAAATACAGTATATTGAGAAAACGTCTCAAATTGAGAATACCTGTTCGCTGAAAGGTGTAAAGTGGTGACCATGAAGTGCAAGATCCCAGTTTTACATCTGGTACTGCCTCTGTTAAATACATGAAATGCCTGCAAACAATAAAAAAAGGAAGTATTGGGAACAAAACAGTTGTATATTTTTGGGGAAACATTGCTTTTTTTGTGAGAGGGGGATGAGAATATTGATTGTGTTTAGTATGTAGCAGGAGTAAGTACATATTGTAGTGTTTTGTGCATTAATTACATCAATCAACACAACATTAAAATGATTTACAGTGTAAAGACATACTGAGCCATGTTTCCAGTCTTTATGCTAAGCTAAGTTAACCATGTCCGGCCTTTTTTCCCCCAGCAGACATTTTGAAATAACTCTAACCCTTCTTCCCCAGGTGGTGATCCGGCGGCGGCCATTGTTCTACACGGTGAACCTGCTGCTGCCCAGTATGTTCCTGATGGTCATGGACATCGTGGGTTTCTACCTGCCTCCAGACAGCGGGGAGAGGGTTTCCTTTAAGATCACTCTGCTGCTGGGGTACTCTGTGTTCCTCATCATCGTGTCTGACACCCTACCTGCCACCGCCATAGGAACCCCGCTCATAGGTGATGATGGGATCCATGAACACTACATTCAGAACAGGATTTCAGCTTATCAACAGTTATCGTTCATAACACTCATAACAATAATAACAAAAATACTTTGCTTCATTTTACAGCCGGCCACAAATGATGAACAATCAAAACCAATAATCCAACTGAAGATGCATTTAGTGATTTAAAATAAATAAATAAGATTATTATTAGTTATATATATATATATATATATATATTAAGAGTCCTATATATCAATTTTCACATATTGCACATTGTTTTATATGTCACTACAATGTACACCTTTCATTGTATTTTTGTAAATATTGTACAACTTTAATACATTTAATTTTAAACTTAATTTAATTGAATATGTGATTTTGATTTAAAATCTTGATTTTTTATTTCATATTTTATATTTAATTAATTTNCCGAGGAAAAGCGAGCTAAACGCAAACAAAGACCTTCTTAACTGTTTTTATTGCACAACTGCGATTTGTGTGTTTGAGTGGTATCCGCTAACTGGATTAGCGCCAACCGGAAAGAGATAAAAAATGTCCAACAGTGTAAACAATCCAATTCATTATCATGAATTTCAGTCTGCACATTTTTGGCTATTAGTGTCCACAATGCTAACAGTGCTCTTTAAGAATCCCAAATACTGAGCGAAAAAGGCATTAGTGACCTTTGAGTTGCACAATGAAGAACATGCTGGAAGAAAAGAACTAAAAACTATTGCTCTTTTAACAAACACACCGCAAAGCTGCCGCGGCGGCGTCGGAGGGGACGGATTAAAAGTTTGGCCAATATGTACCGTGGATTTGCTGTTTAGTTGTGTTATACATCTAAAAACTAGGTTCATAAATGGCCACAAGTTTGTTTGAAACTTGGCTAATACTTAAATGCCCAATCTTTTGCTTTTGTGATAGATGATTATATATATCGTTTGGTAAACTTTGTCCGTTTAGTGAACGGGAAACAGCTGTTTGTGAAGACATCAGCTTGTATTTCTGTTTGCAAAAAAAAAAAATATATGCATGGAGATACTTACTATTTCAGTGTTTTTCCACCACTTTAACGTCAAAACCTGCCCTCCACAAAAGAAATTCCGCCTCAAAGATTGCTAGGAGAAACTATGAATTAAAGAGCGCCCTATCATGCTTTTTGCCGGATTTTTCCTTTGCCCGTAATGCAGGCGTGCTCAAACTCAATTTAATCGCGGGCCACATTCGCATAAAGGTTGCACTCAAAGGGCCGGTTGTAACTGTATAAATATATAATATATGTATAAAAAAATAATACATTATATTACATTATTGCCTCTGAATTGGATTATTATCGGATAGGGTAATAACTTAGTAATTAACTACGTCTGAAAGCAGAAGTCCAGGGCAAATAATTGCAAGTCTCTTCAGTGCGCATGTCACAAAACGAGATGCATTGTGGGACATGTAGTTTATGGGCCACCTGCTTCTGTAAAGTGGTATGTAACCGTATAATAAACGTATTATATTCTTTGCAAGTTCTTGCGGGGCCACATAAAATGAAGTCGCGGGCCTTGAGTTTGAGACCCCTGCCGTAATGTGTCATACAGGTTTTGTGCATAAAAAAGTGCTAATATCTCAAAGTTCCCTCCAAAGGGAGTTTCTCTCCCACACAATCACAAATGTTACGATTCAATAGAAACGTTCTTAATCATCTGGAGAAATTGGTGGCCTGCCATCAATTAAGAAACACATTTATGATTTCCTTATGAGCTCCCTGTGGCTTTAAGAGATACAAGAAGACTTCTTTAAGAAAACAAAACATCCCTTTCTCCTCTAAAAAACATCAAATCAACCAGCTGCTCCGAAAATGTTCCAGCCTCCTTGAACAGAGCGGGCATCTTACCCGCCTCATGGTTGGTTAAATATTTGCCAGCTGGGGTGCTTTTCTCTATAAAAGCATGTGTGTGTGTGTGTGTGTGTGTGTGTGTGTGTGTGTGTGTTTGTCTGGCCTGCTTGTCATGAAAAGCACAGTTCAGGTGCTGAATCAATCATACATGTAGATAGAATCCAATAAGCAGCGAGCGAGACTGCAGCTGGGGTCTGCAGAGACAAAAAAAGAGAGCGAGAGATGTGCCCATGTTGGCAGAGCTCGCTCTCTCACCCCTCTCAGCAGATGCCATGTTACAGAGCGGGTAATTAATAGCGCAGTGGGGCCTGGGTGAGAATCGCCCAGACACACACACACACACACACACACACACACACACACACACACACACACACACACACACACACACACTAAAAACGTCTCCATTTGCCCCCCGGAGCAGCTTTGCGCCAACTAGCCTTCACCTCATTATGCCAATCAAATCGGCCAAGGGGTGAGGAGGGGGAGGAGAGGGGAGGGAACAAGCTGTCCTTTCTCATTCGGCCTCCCTCACTTCCACTGTCCATGTGTTCATTATAGAGCGAGATCTGATCTTAATAAGAACACTGAGCTGAGGGGAAATGGCCAAATCCCTGTACTTCTTATTTCCCTGTGATTGTACATTGGTTTGGTAATAAGCCACTCACCACTCCTCCTCCTTTTCTTCCAAGGAGCTAAAAATGTTGGATTTACCAGCTGCGACGCAGAGCTGCAGCTGCGTTTTCATACTTCACTTTGCCTTTTCCCTATAAACTGCGAAAGGGTAAACTATTTACAATGTGGGAGCCAGCAAACTACTTTAAAATAATAACAGGGATTAAAGTGGAAACAATTTATCCACTGAGATTTTGTCATTTTCTCATGGTGCAAAAGTCCAGATTTTTACTTTTGTTTTCTTAAGAGAATTACATCTGCAACTCTTGAGAGTGGGACAACAAATAGTGTCTTTCATTCCCTGGAAAGTCATCGGATAAAAGCCAAAGAAAACATATTGTAATCAGGTTCAACATTAGACTCGTGACATTCCTGAAAAGGTTTGTCAAATTAAGATCAAGAATACTTTGCAAAGGCTTTCGCCCGAAAAACTCTGGCTTATTTTAAATCCTGTAACACCATCATTCAGAGACCACCTTTTAAAGCTGCATTGAGAATTTTAAACCAATTTTCGCGGTGGAGACCAAAAACGGAGCAAAAAGGAGAACTCTAATGAAGCTTTACAGACAGACATTACTGTTATTATAACATAATAATGATTAGCTTTTGGAGTATATATATTGACAAGGTGTAGATGTTTCCTGCTTTAACCCTCCTATTGTTTTTATTTCCCCCCCCCCCGCTTACTTTGGTGTTCGCGGTCAAATTTGACCGGTCCTGTTTTAACTGCTATTACATTAACACAAAACATTAATCATCACCACATTTAATTTAACACCCTTTCAAACTGTACATATTGAATCAGACTACTGGTATACATGAACAACTGCAGTAAATATACAAAGAATAGACACTGAACATGTATTGTGTGTGCCAGGTGTGATCCATGTGGGGGGATGGGCACATAAGAGCGGGAAATGTATCAGATTGGTCTGTCTGTCTGTCTGTCTGTCTGTCTGTCTGTCTGTCTGTGTGTGTGTGT